AGTGCCGTCTCAGTCATGGCAATGGCTGTGAATCGAAACACGGAAAGCAGCTTGTAATGCATTTCCCTCTGCTACAACAAGAGATGGAATAGAGCTAGAGACAATCTTATTAACTTACCCTCTGCTGTCCCTGGTGCCCGACACCACGTTGAGCTAGGTGCATCTGTTCTCACAGTAGTGCCTTTAACCTTAAAGTTCAAGCCGGTCAGATTATAGACATTTTTGAGTGCTGGTAGGGTGAGAAAGTCTACGACATTTTCGTTAAGGCTGCATCCGGCATCCTCGTAGTAGTTATTGGTGAGCATACGAATCGAGCCGTTTGCGTTAGCTCGGAATTCATAATCGGAACGACACGCGTAACGCTTTCCATTCGATTCCATCATAGACTCAATGGTCTGCACGAAACGTGCTGGCCGATTTAATTTGAATGCAACCAGAGCACAGGCACAGGCTACCTGGTTACCTCGTGTTACTTTAGCACCATACGCTCCGCCGATTCGTCGCACCTGTAATTGAACGGCATTCGCCTCCAGCTTGAGCATTCGTGATATGCTCGCTTGGGTCACATCCATCCATTGAGTGGCGCTCCAAACCTGCAGTCCTTGTTCATTAGGAACCACTACTGTCGTTTGTGGCTCCATGGTGAAATGGTATTGGGACTCCAACTCCAGAATTCCACGGCCCAGCACATCGCCTGGCTTTAGGGGCGTTTGGGCGAGCTCCTTATTGGGCTCAGTACTTATCACCAGACGATCTTCCACTTTGGCTGACAGAACCGCATTCATGCTGGTGTAAATCTTAWCCTGATCATTGGCATAGGTCACCTGCACCAAAGTCGCCGCATAGACGGCCACATCGTGTGTCAATGCTGCGATTACTCCCAATGGCTGATCATAGTACAATACACGTCCAGAACAAAAGATTTCCTCCACATCACCCGGGACGGTGAATAATGTAGTATTGTTGAAATTATTGTCGCCAGGAATGTCCTTGGACCCATAGAACGCAACCACGCCCTTGCACTGGAGCGCGGGAGCCGAGTCGATCTGCTCTATTGTTGAACCCACCCGCTTGGCCGTGACAAAGGCGCAGTGCACAGCATTAGAGGTGGTTAGCAAATCGTTGATGTAGATTGCTTCACCTGCGCACTGAATGAGACCTAACGAAAGTAATGGAATTCCAATCTAAAACAGCTCTCTAATATGCTCAGAATAAATATAGGCATACCWTCCAGTTTCTCCACTGGCTTAGTCACGGGATACTTATTTGGTATGGTCTCGAATGATTGGCTGCCGGAGGAAAGCGGGCGCTCTAGCAGGTCACCACCACTGTGAAAACGCTTTCGGACCAGCTCTTCGGGCGCCGAGCCAAGCAAAAACTTGTAGAAAAGCGAACAAGCTAGTTTTTGACGATACGCAGGCGAGGCCTCGGGCGGCATTTCCACTGCCTGTAGACTTGTCAGCAGCTGTTCGAATACCTGCGCCACAGTGGAGCTGTCATACAAATCCCGACCTACCAACAACTGCTCGGCATGCTCAGCGTGCACGAAGTCGGGCCTGATGTTTCCAAAGCAAAGGCGAGCCGAGGCCACTATRCGATGCTGAACATTCTGCCACTCGATAAGGAATCCACTATTAACATAGGCATGCACGTTTTGAGCACGCGGTAGGATCTGTTGGAGAGGAGAGATTATTAAGGGCCACACCYTYATCATTAAAACTAACCTTGTAAGAATTGAACAAGTATTTGGACTTTGGATAAGGCCTYAGAATAAATCCGCCTATAACCAGTTTGGGCGTAGTATCCTGTAGATAAGACAACAGACTCATTATCCGTTGACTGCTCGCATTGTCGTGCACCAAGACATGAGCATCCAGGGCCTCAAGTGTGATGAAGACATCCGAGGGGAACTCCGGGTGCTGCTTCTTGATTGAAATATTACCCGCCAGTGTTCCATTCTAAAATTTAATATATTCTTGTTATGGTTGTAAATTTGAAATCTCTTCATTAAAATTTCAAATTCATTAATTTCAATTCACTTTCTGTTTCYATACACATATGTCGAATTAGGARYGCGCCTGAAACAAGTTTCAAACTGGATTATGTGGATTTATGGCCATCACTTACATTTCGCACTGGCACATTCGCAATCAGGTTGAAATGCTGCCACAATTGCGCGCAGTATTCGAAGCCCGGGCGTTGCTCAGCCTGCTTGAAGAGCAGCATGGTCTCTGTGAGAGTCAAATTGGCGCCCAGCAAGAGGTGGTCTGGCTCTATGCTCTGCTGCTTTAGCTCCGGCACCATATTGACATCCACATAGTGCTTTATACTCCTCGGCCGCCTGTAGACACCATGCGCCGTGTTACCTGCCACCAGAATGTACTCCTCTCCACTGGGCACCTGGGCGAGGGCTTCAAACAGTTCGGCCAGAGTCTTGGGCCAATACCAGTGGCACTTGTTCTGGGCAGGCAGGGATGGGCGGGAGCAGCTACCACTGCAGCATTGACCGGTGCGTGGACAGAGCAACTCAAAAGAGTCCTCGATGTCCACGCAGTCTGCTGGTACCTCAATGGTGCTGTCGACAGCAAAGGACTTCATGGCATCCAATATGGGCCTGTAGCCAGTGCAGCGACAGATGTTTCCTCCAAAGCCATCTTCCACTTCAGCCATGGTCACGCGTCCACCTCGGCTCTCCAAAAGTCCGTACATGTTCATTACGAATCCCGGCGAGCAATATCCACACTGGCTGCCGTTAAGTTTGGCTAGACGCTTTTGTATGGGATGATAGCCACTGCTCTTATTGCCCAGCCCCTCATCGGTGATAATGTCCACATCATTACAGGTATTAAGCAGGGTTAAGCACTTAAAAGGAGGTATAATATAATTTAGCTGAACCAATCCACGTCTGATATTCATCCATCTGAATATTATATTTACCGAGTTCGTGGCCCGGGAGCTTATTTCCCCCGTAATGGGATGACGACGTCGTATTAAACAAACACAAGATCCACAACCGCCCTCCAAGCACATATATTTGGTGGCTGTCAGGTGAAGATGTTCTCTCAGGAATGTATTTAGAGTGATGTCCGCCGCGTAATCCTGCGGCTGCACTTCGTACGGGAAGCCATTTACATTGAACTTGATGCTCATCCTGGTAAAGTTGACTGCCGAATGCTGAGTTCATGGCTGAGCTCTTCTATTTAAAGCCTCTGTTGACAGTAATCAGGTAAAAGCTAAACGAGTTTCTGGTGCTAGTCAATCTTTGCAATACACAGCAATATAACATATATATTTCAAATATGTTTTATTTAATTTCTTTTTAATTAATCTTTTTCAGCACTTTTAAACACCCTTCTTGAAATACCCTTCTGAACGAAAGCTTCATATTATAAGATAGATTTATAGAGAATGCACACATTAATGTATACAATAGAATTGAATAATTTTATAGTAGTTCAATATAATCACTGGCACAAACAGGTTTAATAAACTTGTATGCTGTACGAAAGAGTATGAGACCTAATTAAACTTGAAATCCAAAACATTTTAGTAATTCACTGAAAAAACCCAACTCATTGAGTTTGTCGCCATGCATCAGAGACAATATTTTTGTGCTGATAACGCAGGTTTATGTCAGTTCAACTGGATATATAAAAACTGTTTTTACATATGTACATACATACATACGTATATTAAATAGTTCTTCTTAAATACATATGTATTTATATTTGTTAAACTAGCTTTATTAGCCCACTCTTTTAATTTTTGCTAAGACTAGAACAATTATATATATATTATATAATAGAATTTCTAAGTTTTATATTACGATGATGTAGTAGAAAATATTTGAATTCTTACTAAGTTCGGAGATGTAATGACAAATTTAAATTGCGATACAATTGAGCCGATAAGTAATCGATAGTTGTCGATTGTTGATAACGTACAGAACTAGCAGCTCATTTCGATTTGTTCATACACTAATTTAGTTCCATTTCCACACATCTCCAATTTTTTTCTCACGGCAGTCGGCATATGTCCACTTTATTGATTATTGTATTTGTGTTAATGTAAAAACAGTTCAATTACAAAAAAATATCAATAAAATTATATCAATACAAACTTATAGTATAACATAATTAAATGGTGAGTACAGCGCATAGACAAACAGGGTAAACGGCATAAACGGCGCAACGACGCCGCAAGTCGCCATCTTTTTTTCGCAATGACGCTGAGGAGCGCGTTAGTGGAGTGAGAATTTGTTTGATTTTACACTTAAGAATTTTTGCAGCAGGCAGCCATGAATATGGACGCAAATGCTGTCGAGAATCGGGAGAAAGAGCGTGATCGCCGTGGACGTGGCGCACGCGGCTCCCGCTTCTCAGATGCGGATGGTAACAATGGAAACGCCGCTGGTGGTGGGGGTGGCGGAGGAGGCGCTAATAATGCACGCGACAGAAGTCGCGAAAGACGCAATTGCCGCGTCTATATCTCGAACATTCCGTACGATTATCGCTGGCAAGACCTCAAGGATCTATTCCGACGCATTGTCGGCTCCATTGAGTATGTGCAATTATTCCATGATGAAAACGGYAAGGCACGTGGCTGCGGTATTGTCGAGTTCAAAGATCCAGAGAACGTCCAAAAAGCAATGGAGAAAATGAATCGATATGAACTTAACGGACGTGAGCTAGTCGTCAAGGAAGATCACGGCGAGCAGCGTGATCAATACGGTCGCATTGTTCGCGATGGAGCAGGAGGTGGCGGTGGAGGCGGTGCTGGTGGTGGAGGAGGAGGAGGAGGAAATGGTGGAGGTCGCGATCATATGGACGATCGTGATCGCGGCTTCTCGCGACGTGACGATGACAGAATGTAAGTAATATAAAATACCAAATATATAGCATATCTACAATCGTTTTCCTATACTCTAAGCACATTTAGCAAATCACAAAGGAAAGAATATTTTCGACGTTATTGACAGGAATACACAAAAACAACTCCTAGTGTTGTTGACATTTTTTAATTAAGGGCATCCAGTGCTTAAGATTTATACCAGGCATTGTCATATGCTAATGTSACCCAAAAATTGTATACATTATATAAAGACGAATGTCTATTGCAGGGCTTWATGAAMATTCTACTTTRAATTGTGCTGATAATTTTACTTCGAACAAGGAAAAGAAAACAGCTTGGGCCTCTTATAATTATTGGATCCACTTGGAGTCCTTTTAAAAATTCAGTTCACCGGTCGGCAATATGTTAGCTTCATCAGAAGGAAAATTACTAGATTTAAGTTACTTAACATCTCAACGTTTTTAGACGATGCTTTTACTGGAGAGCTGTGTATCCTGTCTATAGTTTTTGTTTTGAGCACTTTTCCAGTAGTATCGAACAACTGTTCATTGCTAAATTTGTTCTATTTCTACATTCGGGGCTTAACTTTTGTATTTGTAAATTTGTTATAAAGGTTTCAGTTGAATTTTGGTCGAGCATTGCTTTATGTCGTTAAAGTTGATGACTTAATTTACAATGTGTTTGGTGTACTAGAAGTTAGATTTAGCCGACGATTACAAGCTGTCAAATACTGGCCATTATAGAACTTTATATATGCTTTAAGAAAGAATATTCCTAAACAAACGATCAGTAGTTGTTATAATACTTAAACGTTACACGTTAATCTCGACGTTCTGGAGCTAATCTCAATCTTTGTTTGTAGCTTAGATGAAATGGTATGATGTGCGTGCGCTTTTCGGATACTTGTATTTGTTGTGCTTTTTATCTTTTGCTCTTGTTATTTTTTCTCTCTGGACTTTTGGCTTCTTTTTCTAGATCTGGGCGTAATAATTTTAACATGATGTCTAATGATTTTAATTCGTCGAATTACAATTTGTATGGGCTTTCTGCTTCGTTTTTGGAGAGTCTTGGCATAAGTGGACCTTTGCATAATAAGGTCTTTGTTGCTAATGTGAGTATATGTATAATAATAATAATAAACTATGAACCAAATCAAGAAAACAAAAAAAAAAAAAAACGAACAATACCGATACCGTTACCGATACCAAAACCAACCACAATTATCTAAATACGCATATCTTCTATATGATAGAAATATGTTTTCTAACTTGTGTACTCTTTGCCCAGTTCTGTTTAAGTAGTAAATTGTTTTTATTCTATCTATACTAAGTGTATTGAATACGTTTTCATCATGGGCTCTGTTTCGTATTTATAACCCAACTATAAAAATAACATTGTAAGTGTTATATTATAACTGGTTGTGTACTTTGCCAATCTACTATATGACTTTTTTTCTCCTTGTACACTTGAAAGTGTTTACCACATTATAGTAAACAATCTTCTCTTCCGAATAATTTATTGTTATTAAAACTTTGATGCTGTTTGCTGCCTTTCTAAATGAAAGTAAACAACTATACGTGTTGAGAAATTTCTATTGTCCGATATTTTCTAATAAATATAACAATTCGTGTAATTGGATCTGCTATCTATCGGTAAATATGGAAGTCAATGTCGATAATAGCCGTTGAGACAGACTTGGGCTTACGCCTAGGACTGCTATAATGATCAGCTTCAGCTCAATCGCCGTTAATTTGAGAATGGGAATATCACTAATTATTAAAAGAAAGCGGTCAACGGGAAGTTGTAAAATTTAAATTAATTAAAATATAAGAATCGTATCGGAAATTCAATGATTTCAGTTTATTGACCATCGAC